AGTCTCTTTATAGTACGTTATAATAAATATTTAAGATAGATATTTGTGTATTGTTCCATTCAGGTGTAAGAGACAAATATCTGTGGGGCAAATTTCCAACAAGTAAATGATCTCTTTAACACCATTGTTTAGTCACCGGAACCAAACATTATTCCACTGACAATCCCTTAAGTTCAGCAAACATCATCGGATTTCAAGGATATTGAAACTGGCATCTGCTGGAATGGAATTCAATTAGAAGATGCGTAATCCTGCCCGGATTTAATTAAGCTCCTTTCGCTGCGGTGTTTTCCCACCCACGGCAGCACTGCAATTTATATCTAATTCAGTTCAAAGATTTATTTACTATATACCGAACCATGGGACTTTAATTAGCACTCCACTTGTTGGCAGATGGAACGGTTCGTTGGCAAGGAAATAAACACGCGCCAACTGACATTGAAAGTGGCCAAGTTGCATTGAAAAACGATGGGGGGAGGGGGTGGTGAATTTTCCTAAGTGGGGTTGAACAAGTAGCAATGTCACCCCAGTTGGTCAGGAAAAGCGGGGGGGCCAGGAAAACCCTCCAGCATTTGCAGAGCTCGTTGTGACTTCTTCTCGTCTTCTTTTCTTTTTTTTTTTATTTGGGCGGGACTCCGAGTTTGAGTTCGTTTCCTGGGCATCCTTGTAGTTAAGCAGAATTTTAATTGATAAATTGCCACTTGGGCCATTACTTGTCGCTGCCGTGGCTCCGGGCGCCACCACCCCCACCTCGATTTTCCATTTTCCACCCACACCCATCTCTTTGAATAATTTGCAAAAGTTGCGACCAGAACGGCGGAGGAAACTGTGGTCGCCTCCGCAGCACTTCGCATCCACTTTTGGACGTGCTGTTGGTAGCGTTTACATCATCAAATGAAATACAATAAAATACTTGGACTCATTTAAAAAGCAATTAAATATTAAAAACACTTGTACAATGGCAACTCGGCAAAGGGGAAAAGCGGGCTTTGGTGACTTTTGGAATTTTGATTGTTTCTTTGCGTTTCACTTACAAGTTTTTCCGGGTAGGGGGGAAAACGAGTCGAGGGCTCTGCGGTTTTATTTGAGTGATTATGCAATTAATTAAAATCTCTTCGCTTGTGGTTTAAGCCCGAAGCTGAGCCAAGGGGATTGCCTGGCAAAGAGTTTTCCCCCAAACCAAGTAATTGAATTAAAATCGGAATGCGAAATTAGCATTATCGAGTGCTGAGCAACGGAATGGAACAACTTTCTGGCCATTCGGGGACTTGGCCAGGCAATTTCCCTGCCGGAAGTCAAGTTTATTAGAACAACCAGCCAGGAGATTGGGTCGAAAAAAGTCGAAACATAACTGCAAAAAAAAGGGCAACAGGGCAAGGAGTTGGAAAAAATGGGGGTTAGGGGTGGAAAAGCACACATAAGCGTTCAGTTATTCCATTAATTTGATTAGAGTTTCCTGACGGATCAGGGGCTATGGCTAAAGCGAAAGAAAAGTAAAGAAAAAGCGGGAAATTCGGATGGAGGAACAATCCCAGGAAGTCGAGGCAAAGGATACTCTGTACAAATTATAAATCTGATTAAAAAAAACGCTTAAAATGAATTTAGATCCATCTATTACTGCTTTATAAAGTTTATTTTAGTAAAGTATAAACATATTTAAAAGCAATGAAAAACATGGAAATTCGGAAAGCGAATAATCACAAAAACTCGAAGCTCAAGAGATGCTCAGACAATTTAAGTTTTATTGTAAAAACATTGATTTGGAATTTTTAAAAGTATTTATAGTATTTAGAAATGTGTTTATTAAAGTAAAGAAGTATTTAGGAAAAAAATATTTGTGGCTTAAACGCATTTATAAAATTAAGAAAATATTATTTAGTAATAACCATAAGCATTTATTGTATGATAAATAAAATTGTTTAACTAAAATTTGTTAGCTATAAATCTAAAATAAATAAATAACCGTTGTTAAGTCTATAGGAACTTTTGAACAATATTATAGATAGCAAAACTGTGTTAAACCCACCAAAGGAATTTATAAACCCGTTGGAAGACCACAACAACGACTTCCGCAACACGCGCTGGGCAAAAACTGGACAAAAAAAAAGAGGAAACCGGGGCAAAAACAAGCGGTGGCAAAAACATAAGAATGAAAGCCATCCCATTCCAACCACGTGGCCACACCTTATGAAGTGCTGTTATTAACTATGGCCTGGAACCGGGCAACTTATGCCTCATAAGAATTTAACGCCCGAATGCTCAAATTGTCAATAAGAAAGTTGGCACGCCCACTTTGCGGCAGGGCTATCTGTCTGGCTAAGCCAAGTTGGCAACATTTTATGCCACCTCGGTTGCACACCCACAAACACACACTCTACTGCTGGCATTTAACGGCAATGTCCACGCGTTTTCATTAAGCCAACTTTTTGGCCTGGCCAAAACGGTCGACGACGAGGCCTGGCAATCATTTTTTATGGAGCCGCGCGGCCAGCGCATCAAAAACCCATTTGGCCGCCATTAACTTGATTGAGTCGGGCTTTTGCGAGCGGTGTTCCTTTATTTTCCGCCTTTTTCCTTACTTTTTTGGACTTTTTCGGGGGCGTTGCAAATGAAAATTGATCATGACCCAGTGTGCCTTCCATGTTTACAACTAATATTTCTGCGTATTTCTGAGGTGATGCGATCGGCGGAGACTTTGGGGCCATTAGTTGTCATTAGTGGGCATTTCCTTAATTAAACCTTACCCCACAATCAGTCATTAAAGGGTGTTTTTCGTTCGCTGTCGCTATCTTTCTAGTCATTTGTCATCTGGCCCACGGCATCTGCAATCCACCAGTTGTTTGCTAATTAAAGGACCAATTCCGCAGTACACAGTCACGGCATCCCAGTTCCAATCCCAATGCCAATGCCAAGATTGTGGTCTTATCAGCGTTGCTCAGCCCCATCCACACCTCCAGTTTTTGGCCCCCAGGTGGGTTGACCTACTTCCATGGGCCACCAGGTACCTAACCACTGCCACTGATTTGCCACTGCGGTTCCAATTGACTTTGGTCAGGTCTCGAAGATAGTCAATATTGTCGCTATAAGCTGCAGGGTCTTATTGGGATTACCTAACTCTGGTATTCAGGAGGTAATTTAATATTTATTAACGAATAAGATGGAATACATTTTTGTTATAAGTCCTAGTTACCAATACTTGCAACATCTTAAGTATTATAAAAACTACAAGGAACAAAAAAGTATTAACCACCGAAGTATAATTTAAATATCATCTATAAATACCAATAATGGGGTAGGGATGGGTGAAACAGTCAATATTGTCGCTATAAGCTGCAGGGTCTTGTTGGGATTACCTAACTATGGTATTAAGGAGGTAATTTAATATTTATTAACTCATAAGATGGAATAAATTTTTGTTATAATTCCTAGTTACCAAACCTTGCAACATATTAAGTATTATAAAAACTACAAGGAATAAAAAAGTATTAACCACCGAAGTATAATTTAAATATCATCTATAAATACCAATAATGGGGTAGGGATTGGGTGAAACACATTTTTTAAATAGTCCTGGCTACCAAAACAGTGCTTCATTCAATAAAATAAAGAACACCCTTCACTATTACCATGACTAAAATATGTTTACCATCCATAAGATCATATAATTTTTAATCATTTACAGTTATGGTAATATTTATATATCTTATTCCACATTAAGTTATGATATTGCTCCTTGAAAGTGTGCTAAGTTCACTTAAAGCTTGTTGTACAGATGTTGAACAAATCCCTGGGACACTATGTCACTTGGGCTAATTTAGCAGAGGGGTTCCCCCACTTGGCATGCCAAAACAGCTTTTTCCAGATTCGATTATGGCTGCGTCTTAACCCTTCAGATTGCTAACCAAAAACCGGCTGCACTGCCAGTTCTCGGCCGAGAGAATCCAACTGTCACAGGACACAGCATATTTAAGCTTAGCTGGCTTACACAAAATAAATAAATGTGATTTGTCATTTTGCAAAACATGAAATGGCAGCAGTTGGAACAGGACGAGTAAACTGTTCGGGAGAGAGCATTAAATTGCAGTCAAATGGCACGCTGTGTGCATCCCAAATGCCAAGGATCCCGAGAATCCTGGGTATTCCGGGGGCGGTACGAGGGCGTAGATGGGCGGGGCCGTATTAAATTATTCGAGCGTGCTGCAGCCAGACGGAGATACTTTCGTATGCAACACTGAGCAGCCAGTCCAAGTCCAAGTCCCACATATACACACACACTGTTTGCCATCATGTGACTTTTGCCAGATCAAATAAATGTTGCCCCATGCACGAGGACATCCACCGGACTGGAGAAGGCCTCCTCATCAGCAAATCAGCATCTGAATCTGAATCAGAATCGGAATCAGCCTCGCAATCTGGCAGCCAGTCGGGCCAACTTAAGAGCCATGTAAAATTCATTTGACCGAGCAGAACAGCAACGAGCTGCAAATGAAATAGCGAAACAAGCGTGCTGAAGTCACCTGTCAGTCCGTTGGCCAGGTGACACTGACCCGGTCCATTCGCCATGAGATTCGGCTGGGAATTCCATCAAGAAAGCGGAGGACCGACCTCACCATTGACCTTTCAAGGGAAGGGCACTTGAGTGAGTCAACACGGAATTGGCCATGAGTGCGTATCCAAATAAGGCACAAACTGAAATGCCATTTAATTTGTAGTCTGTTTATTTACCTTAACTTATGCCTTGCAAGTCTTGATATAATTACAATATTAAATTAAAGAAATACCTTAAGAAGTTACGAAAAAGAAATATTTAAGATATCAAATAGCTGTTGAAAAGATTATTAAGCATTTAGGGGTTTTCGAATTTTTAGACTTCTGAAATAACTTTCTTTTAAATATATTAATATTTGTTTTAAGTTTTTTTATTACTATTTAGACTTAAATATATTTTATTAGTACTAACATGTTACTTTTTTGTTAAGAAATTAATACTTTACTATTTAAACTTCAAAACCATCACAAGATATATTGAAAATGCTCATTTTTTAGATCATCACTTCTCTTTTTCTTGGTTAACTTCGCATTTATGCCTCGGTAGGATAATAACAAAGGAACAGAGCAATTCTTGGCTCACACTCATCACTCCGCCGGCATTGTTCATAAGACCGCAGTAGTTCGGGGCTGAAAAGATGGTGACCAGATGACGGTTGGCAAAGAACTCATAGCCATCCTCCACGACCTCATGGGCACGAACCATTAAGTCCAGGTCATGGGCTTTCAGGAAACTCTGCACAATTACCTCATCAAAGGTGAAGCTGACACCCCGATCATTGTGGCCCCATCCCTCGGTGGTGTGATTGAGATCAGCCCAAAGAAGGTCGCACAGGATGCCCTCGTCTGGAACATCCGTAGGTCGCCGGAGAAGACAGATTTGCTCCAGTCTCCGGAGAGATGGACCTAGACCTCCATGGCAGCAGAAGATGCGATCTCCAACAACCGCGGCCACCGGAAGCCAGTCAAAACAATCCGTGAATCTCCGCCATAAACGCACTGTATGCCTCCTCTTAACCTCATCATAAAATCCGTAAATCCTATTGATGCTGGCACACTCGTGATTTCCACGGAGCAGGAAGAAATTCAATGGGTACTTGACCTTATAGGCGAACAGCAGGCAGATCGTCTCCAGGGATTGTTTACCCCTGTCCACGTAATCCCCGAGAAATAAGTAGTTTGCCTTTGGGGGAAACCCACATGCCTTGAAAATGCGCAGGAGATCCGTAAACTGACCATGGATATCGCCGCAGATTTTCACCGGAGTCTCCAATTTCAGTAGCATCGGTTGGCACATTAACACTTCACGCGTATCCTGAATGAGTCTCTCGATAAGGTCCTCTGCAAGTGTGCAGTCGTTGCCATTTAGAGATGTCAGCTCCTTTATGATACAATCCACTTCTTGTGGGGTCAAGACCATGGTTTTGGGTTTTCAAAGTGTACAAATACGGGAATTTTCTGAATATGCAAGACATATGTACATTTGCCCATAATACCCATGTATACTTGATACTGATTTTTATTCAACACCAGGTTTTTGATTACTTCTGGGAAAAATTGTTAAAAAATTATTTATTGGATATGTTTTTTTTTCAACCTTACTTATAATGCTATTAAATATATTATTATATATTATTACCTTCTGGTAAAGGTTTTATGTTTTCTTATCAAAAATATGGTCACAAACATGTCCTTTTTAATCGAAAAATATTTCCACTTTGCTGACCACCAAGGCAGTTGGGTTTTGGTATGTGGAGCATATTTTCGAGTTTATAAATACTTTCTTGTGTGCAGGGATAATCCCCCTATTCCTTCCTATCCGCAAACCCACAACGCATCTGAGCCCCGACTTGACTTGGCTCAAAGCAGAAGCGTTAAAGTGCAAAAGATTTATGGAATTTATTTATGTGCCAGTTAAAATGACTACAACGGTGGGGGGGGTGTATGGGGGTGGAAGTGGTCGGGGGTGGGTGTGAGGGGGTGGACTGAAGGCCATTGCCCATCATCATCATCGTCATCATCATCACGGTTGTCGTCATCGTCATCTCCATCAGAAGCGCCATCACAATTTTCGTTGCGGCGGTGTGGACGTAAGCGGATTTGCGACAAAACTCATTCGCCATGGACACGATGCCACGCCCACCAAGCCCCACGACCCCCCACGCCCACCCCCTTGAGTGGACCCCCCCTCACCGCCGACTTTGGCTTGGCTTGAATCGCTCGGCTGGTCAAAACCTCCGACGTCTTTGCCGCTTGTTAGCAGTTGACAGCAAAGAGCGACGGGGCTAAATCCTGTTAAAATTTAGTGCAAAATAAGATAGAATGCTGGATGCTTAGCCGGGGAAAAAGAAAAGTAAATTATTCGTTCTTCTCCTCTCATTGAATGTACATTCTACGTAGATTTTATCCGCTTCTCCTTTGCCTTTCACTCTGCTTTAGCAGCACTTTCCATTGAAAAAAAATATAAAAATATATATATTATAAGTAAAATAAAGTTCCGACTGGCCATATACATAAGTTTCGCCATTTTATACGTACAAGTCCTACAAAACATAAATATCTTTGTATTCCGCTGGCCCATAAATTGTCGCCGAAAGCTCCGAAAACAATAAAAATAAATGAACTTGAGTGAGTCTTTGCACTGGAACCGAAAATGAAACCGAAAATGAAACTCAAGCCGAGGAGACCCAAAAATACAAAAAAAAAAAAAAAAGCGAAGAAGCCCCAAATTGGAACTGGAACTCGAAACGAGGCAATTTGATGTTGATTATTACTCGTCCTCCTAGTGGGAATTACTTTTCTCGGCTATGCTTTATGTGTTGCCGGCTATTTTGGCTATTAGTATTTATTGTCCTGTCCACTGCCGACCAGAATCACATTCTAAATGATAAAGAATATGCTGGGTATATATCTTGATCAGCTGGTCGGCAAAAGTTGCAGAAATAAACTAATAAACTGTATGCGAGATAGCTTTATTTTAAGTCATGCCTTTTTAAAGACTTTGTTTGATTTACCTATTGATTGCTTTTTTGGATATGCATGTGAATATGATTTCCTAGTAAGATGAAGTTTTGAATTTAATCTTGGAATATTCGACCAAAACAAATTTCGTATATGTTTCTTTTCTTTTAAAAAAAAAAAGTTTTTATACAAATTCCCTGCTAGTTAAAAGTAGATTGTTTTTACCTTTGCAGATGACTTAAGTCTTTCTAATACTTTACCAATAACCCTATAAACCCTTTTAAAAGTTTAGTCATCTATTTTGGTCTGCCTACAAGTTGAATATGGTCGTAAGCGCTTTTCCTTTAAGTTTTAATTTTTAAATTAAAATCTGTGCTCGACAAGCGCTCTTCCATGAATTTACTACAGATTTCCGAAAGTTTCTATTAGCTACTTTGCCCCCATTCTGCGTGGCATAGAAAATCAAAATAAAATTCACATAAATGCGATTGTTTATGCGGAGAGGTATGTCGGGGGATTCGGGGCACTGGAGCATACATGAACCGGACAACAATTGAGGGAGTTGCCATGGCTGCAGGACATCGGGGGTGGAAAGCTGGCTCCTAAGTCCCGACACGTGCTGAAGCTCTGCCTTTCTTTCCATACTACACTATTTGATGCAATGTGCGTGAACAGCATGCAGAGAGAAAAAATAGGATAGGAAATGGGTATAGATTTCATTTCAAAGCATAATAACAGATTGTTAAAAAAAGAATCTTATGATATGTCAAAATGAAAACATTAGAAATGTTCAGATACTATGATACTAACAATCTAAAGAATCTAAAATATTTTGAGGAAAATCCTAAGTTCTAATGACTTTTCTGGGAACACCTTTTATTTGTTGAAATATCTTTTTAAAACTTAAATAAATAAAGATATAATTGATATTCCTTAAAAAGTCATGGCAATCCATAGGATAGTATCTAAAAAACCTTTAATTAAATATTTTATTATAATGTGATTAAGGTTAGTAAGGTTTTAGTAAGTTGCCACGACATTATGAGATATATCTAGTCAATCGAAATTTAGGTAAGTCTCATATAACCATGAGTATAGTATAGTATCTATAACAACTTTTAATAAATATTTTATTATAATGTGTTTAAGGTGTACTCCTCTTTTTTAGTAAGTTGCCACGACATTATGAAATATATCTAGTCAATCGAAATTTAGGTAAGTCTCATATGACCATGAGTATAGAACAGTATCTATAAAAACTCTTATTAAATGTGTAATGTTATTAATGTGTACTCCTCTTTTTTACTAAGTTGCCCAGACATTTTGAAATATATCTAGTCAATAAAAATTTAGGTAAGTGTCATATGACCATCACTGTTTGTCTAATAAGTCTGAAAGGCCAAAAGAAATTAATTTAAACTTTTTTTTATGAAAAAAGCTAAATAATATTTAGTTCCAATAGGAAAGTAATTTACTTTTTCTGTGTACGATGGTGCGTCTTAACTTGACACTCCACTTGGCTCGTCTCCCTTCTCCAGTCGTCTTCGGTCTGAGTGGTAGCATCTAAAAAGCAATAACAAATGGCGACAGTTAGTGTGTGGAATGCAGTTGTATTTCACTAGCTTTCTCCCTTGGCCCACTCTCTTTTTGCTTAACATTTCACTTTTCACTTGCCCCTTTCTCTGCCACATCCTTCGGACCGGTTCATTTTGCACTTTTTAGTGCTCTGTGTCGGATTCGAAATCTGCTCCTTTCTACACGTGTTGGTGACATTTCCCCGGGCGTGCATTCACATAAATATTTGCAAATAGTTACTCACTTGAAACTTGTTTGATTTGCCAGTGGTTCAGGTGAATATGGAGACATTGAGATGGAATGAACAAATCAGTTTTCATTGTGCCAATTATCTGAAGCGTTAGAGTTCATAATTGTCTTAATGTGTTTTACTAGGGATATACTCGGCTTTTGCAAATGCCAAGTCAATTTAATTTCGAGTGCATATTTATTTAGCCTATCAAACTGAATAAGAAAAGTTTAAAATTTGCATTGCGTTCTAGGCAGATTAATTTTTTAATTTCCCAGCTCACAAATTCTATATGAATATTTATCAGACAAATAAATAATATTTATTTGGCCAAGCGAGCAGAAATTAAATGAAAGAAAAATACGAGTTCACAACTGGTTTAATTTTAATGCACTTAAACTGCCGGAATCAAGTGGACATCGATAAGTGCAATCTGTAGGCAAACTTTGAGAGCCCGACACAATCTCTGGCAGTCCGGGTTTGACAACTTAATGTCGGGCTAGAAAACAATTTGCATGGCCGCCCGGCCTGAGAAATGCCAGCTGAGGCCACAAATAAATATTGAAACCGAAAAAGGATTTCGTGGCGGGGAGCCCGGGGGAAAAAAGGAGCCCCTCCTGGTACCCGGAGGCCTTGAAGTCGTCCTCATAATCTGAGGCTAGTTATAAACTCCCAGCTAGCCGGCGGTCCAAAACCCAACCAAAGTCATTTATATTTTTGTGCCCGTTGGAGAGTCTTGGATTTCACAGCCGGGGCTGGTAAATATAATCATTCATGGTTTTCAGAGCATGAATCACATGCAAATGGCCAGGACCGGTGGCCCGTTGTGTTGCCTGTGCAAATAGATTCATAAATCAGTATGAAAATATTATTTGATTTCCGTTTTCACAAAATGCCACAAAAGAAGGCCTTCCTCCCGCACTTTTCCTATTCCATCCATTCCCCAAAGAACCCTTATCGGTGTCCGAATCCGAATTCTGAGACGTTGTCGGAAGCTACTAATTGGAGCATAAAGTACCAGCAACAAATGTCCGGGCATTATTATTCTTTTACCCTGATGAATGGTCAATACCCTGATGGAATTTGAATGAAATTAGCATGACTATGGAACTATTTGAGCTCGGGGTAAATGGAATATGTTTTTAGATAAAAGAACTGATGATGGCTTGAGGAATAAATTGATTTCTTAGTTATATAAGTGACCATTAAATTGAGGTCCTGGAATCTCTTTTTTATACGACGTTACACAATAAAAATTCATTGGGATATGTAAATATATGAAATATTACATCATTTGACAAATAATCGAATGTTGTTTCTCTTTCTAAAATATTCGGCTATTTATTTTCTATCACTAAATCTTATTAAATAAAATATTAGTCATCAGGTTAAAATATATTTATGTATCTTGATGTGTTAGCTTTTAGGCTCATTTAGAGAGTATATATTTCCACCTCGACCTGTGAACTTTTCCACCCCACTTTTTCCCAACTTCCCTGGCGGAAGCAAAATGTTGACATTGCGTCATGCGGCCTGTGAATTATGAGCAGTATTCCTGGCTTAGGCCATTGGCAGTGCAACAATGAGCACTTCCGCTTGTCTGTCTCGCCTGTCCGCCCCCTCCTCTGCTTTCTATATATCCATATCCACGGGGAGATCCTGTCCCTGTCCTTGGATTTCCCATCTCGATTCCTCTTGGCAATCAAGCGCTGCATCCACAGAA